TCCCGCCCTGGCGGGGCGCCCTTGGCCTGCGGCTGGTTGGCATCTCTGCTGCTCGCCGGGGTGCACGCTCCTCGCGGGGGGACGGCCCCCGGTCCTCTGCCCCCCTGCCTTCCCCGTGTCCGGGCAGCCCCTGATGCAGAGCTGGCCCTCACTGCGCTGGTGCCGCCGCGGTCCCCGGCGCCCTGCCGTCTGGACTCTGCCCGTGCGCCCTGCACGCCTTCTCACTGCCGTTCCTTCCCTGTCTCTGGCTCCCGCCACTGCAGCTGCCTCATGAAGCCACCAAAAGAGGAAATGAAAGTAGCACGAGTGTCCGGCACGTGGACGCACATCTGTTTCCAGGCTGGAGGGAAGACCTGGTCGAGGGGCTTTCGGGTTTGCCATGGCCACGCGGCATCTGCGGGACTCGAACCCACGCGCCGCGTCGCCGGCCCTGCACGCCCAGGGCTGGACTTAAAATCCGAACCCAGGTGCTCTGCGACCGAGGCTCCTCGCCAGGTAAAATCCAATCCTGGGCTTTGATTTTAAGCCCCCTTTGCCTAACCTGTGTTAAGTTCTGGATTCTTTTTTTTTTTTTTTAATAAAAGTAAAAAAAAATTTAGAAGGTAAAAATAAAAAATAAAAATAAACCCAAAAAGCAAAACAGATTTTTCTAGAGAAATGAGCCCATCCTTGAGAAGCGGCGGGTCCGCTAGGTCCTGCGTCTGTAATTCCCCAAGGTGAGTACACAGAAGAACGTTCAGACAGTTTAACACCCTGAGCCTCCAAGCCCACAAAATGTGTTTAAAGGAGCTGACCGGTCAGAGCCGCTGCCTAGAATTACTGTAAGACTTCAGTTTTAAATGTGTTTTAGTCAAGAATCTTGGAGCTGCTGTTGGAGTGACCTCAATTCCAATTGGCTTTAGCAAAATAAGGATTTATGCACTCTTGTCACTTACAGACACCCAAGGGAGGGTGTCAGGCCTGGCTGGATCCAGGGTCTTGAGCCGTATCCACTGGTTCATCTCTTTTTCTTTCCTCTCCATTGGCTTCACTTGTGGATAGGTCCGCTCTTGGTTGTAGGCCCTTGGAACTTCACACTGACACCCTCTCAATGTGTATCAACCCCAAAGAGAAAAACACATCTCCTTGCCGGTCATCCCGATGAAGGTCTTTTCAAGTCTCACACGACCAACTTAGGCTACTCACAAACCGATCAGTTTGCCAAGCCTGGGAATCAGGGTCCATCCGTAAGTTACAACACCCTGTGGACACCCCAACACTACATGTGCTGAAAGTAGAGGGTTAGTCAAAGGCAAATCAGGAAGCTTTCACCCCCACAAGGGAAACCAGTAAAGCCTACAGATGTCCTGCCCTGTAACCTGGGTAACAGTACGTGCTCGGTAGACATCAGCTTCCAAAGGGAGCTCCTGGCCGGGGAGTACGGACGGGGCTCAGGGTGGCTGGTGGTTCTCACTGACAGGGCACAGCAGGGCCCACAGGGCCCTTTCCACTCTTCCCTGCCCAGCCCACCTCGGAGTCCTGACTCAGTTGCTGGGGGGCGGGTGTCTTCACAGGACTCGAGGGACTTAGTGCACTGCCAGGAACAAAACCCGTGGACACACCGCAGCTCTGCACACACCACACACGCTGCACACACCGCACCCCCTCGTACCACACAGTGCACACGTGTCATGACACACAGCCACGCACACACCACATACTGCACAGCATGTACAACACACACGGGGCACACACAGCACAACCACATAATATACACACCGCGCAACACATACCATATACCCCCACACCACGCCGTGCACACACATCGCACACCGCACAACCACACACACGCCGCACATACTGCGCGGACCTCCTCACTACCACAACACATCCGTGAAGACCCGAGGAACTGTTCGGAAGTTCACGTAAGCCTTAACGCAGAACTTGAAAATCGCCCCCGATTATTTCCTGTGTTGACTTCTAAGCTAAAGCAGGATTTCGGTGGTAGCTCAAAAATGCAGAGCAGGTCTGACGTTGTGTGTGTGTGTGCGTGCACACACGTGTATTTAATATGTATGCTGTGTTGTGCATCTGTGTATTACTGTGTGGAATGTGTGCTGTGACTGTCCTCTGTGTGTGCTACACATGTGCAGTATATGTGTGTGTGTGGCGTGTGTGATTGTGTGGTGTGTGTGTATGTATTGTGTGGTATGGGGTGGGGGAGTGTTGTGTGTTGTCTGTTGTACAGTGTGTATATTGTGTGGTTGTGTGTTGTGTGTGTTACACGTGTGCAGTATGTGTGCTGTGTGTGGTTTGTGGTGTGTGACGTGTGCGTTGTGTTGTGTATGCAGTGTTTGGTGTGTGCAGGGTGTGGAGTGCACTGTGTGTGTCGTCTGTGGGTGTGTGTGCCTGCGCACACTCTGTGTGGGGTGATTATGTCCCAACCGCAGTTGAGTCAGGAACTGACCTGGCGCTGAGTCATGGGTTCTTTTGTTTTCAACTTTCTTCGCCTCTTCCTCCTCTCCATCCCATCGGCAAACACGGGGTGAAAGGTCAGGGACTGAATGTCACCAGGGCCAGGCAGGTAGACACTGTGCACCTCCAGATGCCATCACCTGAGAAGAACATGGCGCCCTCTGCAGGCCACAGTCTAGGCAGGAAGTGTAACCTTAGTCACAGAGAAAGGTCAGACAAACACACAGTATTATGGGGGCAGGGCAGGGCAGGGATGGAGGGTGTACCTCTGTTATTCAAAAATACTTACATAAAAGACAAAAAGTCTTAGGAATATTTCAGGTCACTGCAAAGCAGGGGCAAACAAGGATATAATAAGACATTGAGGGGCTAGGGATATAGTTCAGTGGTACAGCACCTGCCTGGCAAGAGCAAGGTCCTGAGTTTGATTCCTGATACAAAAACAAAAAAGTAAAAAAATAAATTAAATTTAAAAAATAAGACATTGATAGGCAAAGCATGGCTGTACAGATAGTCTTTATGTGTCTATATTTGTAATATTTTTGGTAAGTTTAAACTTAGTTTCAAATAAAAAAGTTTTGAAAGCTAAGGACTTCTTATTCTGCAATAAGAAGACGATCCTTTTAAATAATCAAAATACTTGAATAGACACTTCTTTTGAAGGAAGATATTAAAATAGCAAATAAACATATGCAATATGAACCACAAACAGAACGTTCATTAAGTTGAAATGTGGAAACACAGCACTTCATGACTCATGAGTCGTCAAGATTAAAAATTCCAAACACACACACACCCCATATTTCAAAAGTCATTGTTCACGGTAATAAAATGAAGCCTTCTTGTTTGCATCCGAGATACTTCCGCAAAGCCTGAGACGCGTGTACTCCTGAACCTTTCCGTAAGCTCCCCAGACGCGGGCCGGCCAGGAGTTTCCAGATGGCGGAGCCCCGCCCCCTCTGAGGTTTTCTGCGGCCTGGACAGGTTTCTGACATACACAGTGGCCGAGGGGCCAATAGTGCCTTAAACTACGTGGAAGCAGCGAAATAACAAACTGAGTGTACACACACACACACACACACACACACACACACACACACGGAAATCAATCTCGTCACTGCCCCCCCCCCCCCGCAGGTTCTTCATTGGCATCTGTTGCCCCTTAGAATAAAACCCAAATGTCAACGTGCCCTACTTCCTTTGGCTTATGTTTTGCTCTCACCTCTTACCTTTCCTTTGTATTCTTCTTCTTCTCCTCAGTTATCACTGTTTGATCACACACAAGGATAAAAGCAGAGATCAGAGGAGCGTGCAGAAATACGCCCCGAGGGACATAGATACCGATGTTATTAAAAGGTGCTCAGTTAACCCAATAATAACGTTTAAAAGGTCACTGGAGTCTTTTCCACAAATGATGCTGGAATACTTAGACATCCATATGCAAAAATAATGAGACGTAAGCCCATAAAGTAAAATATTAACTTGAAACGGATCATAGAGCGAAACAGACCTAAATGTGAAAGATAAATTTTTAAAACCCTTAGGAGAAACCGTGGGAGAAAAATCTTTGTAACCTTGGATTAGACAAATAATTCTTAGAACGCAAGAATCTTTTCAGTCACAAAAGTGGATATATTATTCCTCATAAAATTTTTTTAAAAATCTTTTCATCTTCAAAAAGCATTATTAAGAAAAGGAAAAGGCAAACCACAAACAAGTAAAATACTTGCAAAGCATATATATATATATTAGTAAAAGACTTTATATAAAATACCTATAAAGAACTCCTTACTATGCAATAAGACAACCTTTTTAAATAAACAAAATACTATATATACTATATATATACTACTATATATACTACTATATACTATATACTATACTTGAAAAGACACTTTTGAAAGGAGATATTAAAATAGCAAATAGCCGGGCGTGGTGGCACATGCCTGTAATCCCAGCACTTGGGAGGCTGAGGCAGGAGGATTGTTGCAAGTTCAAGACCAGCCTGGGCTGCGATGTGAGCTCAAGACCAGCCTGAACTGCACAAGAAGACCCTGTCTCAAAAAAAAAAAAAAAAAAAAGACAAATAAATAAATAAATAAAATATCAGATAAGCATATGTATCACTACTTATTAGGGAAGTGAAAATTAAAACCCACGATGAGATATTACCATGCAAGCACTCAAACAGCTAAAGTGTAAAAGATGAATAACACCAGCTGCTGGTGAGGATGTTCAACAGTTCAAACTTTTCTGCAGTGCCGGTAGGAACACAAAACGCTACAGCCACTTTGGTGTCTCTCTAAAGGCGAAAAAACACACTGAACTTAAGACCCAGCAATTCTATCGTTAGGCATGACCCAGGAAAAGTAAAACCATATGTCCACAGCAAAACTTGTACTGAAACATTTCTAGCAGCTTTCATAACCAGCAACTGGCAAGAGTCCAAATGTCCATCAACAAGTGAGTGAATCAACAAATTATACTACATCTCTATAATCGAATATTGCCCAGCAAGATCGGGGAAGGAATTAGGAATATTCAAGAACATGGCAAGTCTCAGAAACATTCTGTTCCATGAAAGAAGTGTATGAGTCCGTGCATAAGAAATCCTAAGAAAGGCAAAATTATAATGACAGAAAGCAAATCAGCAATTTCCATGGCTGTAGTGACGGCTAAATGCCTATATGCTCGTCAGAATTCAAAACAAGACTCAGCACTGGGGTACAGAGTGGTGTGTAAATCATACCTCAGTGAAACACATGCATGTCAGATGATGAAATGCGTTTCTGTCAAATATGATACTTCTTCATTTTCCTCCTCCAGAGCGACCTAGCCGCTCAGCAGCTGTTGCCTGTCACCGCTGACATTCTTGCCCGGCAGCTGGATGACCTTAACCTCCGGTAATGTGGCCAGGCAACACCATAACCATGACTCACACCGATGCCCTGAAGAAATCCTTACCTCATGTGTGAAATGGGATCATAAGAGTCCCCACCTCTCAGTTTGGGTCAGGGTGAAAGTACAGTAAGTACTACTTTGTTAAGGCTCAGTGAATATTAGCATGTCCTATGTGGAGGACAGAGGGCACCTTTACTCGTGCACCCGTCTGTGTTAAGCTCGTTAGAGACATCATTCCATCTCACCTTACATGATGAAGCTGCTTCTTATTCTGCTTTTACAGATGAAGAGGGTGAGGGCCAGAGAGGTGGCAGGACTTAAAGTCACACCACTGATAAATGATTAAAATTTAGATTCCAATCCAGACCTGCCTGACAGCTACTGGAATCTCTTCTTTCCCTTCTCTTATTTCTGACTCACCAGAGAGTCACTTCCTGTCTCCATTAGATCCTTCAGAGGCCCTTCTGCTCCCTGAGTCCTCCACCCCTCTATGGCACACCCTTTACTGTGTTTTGCTGGAATAACACGAGAAGTGCCAATGGCCGAGAGGCTTTTGCTGTCAATGTCCTGTCTCCTTCTATCGCTTTTCACCGCATTCTACCCTCTCTGATACTGTGGAGTTAATATTTTGCTGATTGTCACATGGACCCTCCCCCCACGCGCCCCCCCCCGCCACCTGTGCATAGAATGTAAACTCTCTGCAGTTGACAATCTAGATCTCTGTTAGGTAAGTGGGGCTATTTACCACTACATCCCTGGTACCCAGACCACGAACACGCAACTGGTGTAACCATCGCATTTGAGGAGGACTTGCACGGCCTTCATCAACACTTGCATCTTTATAGCTGAGGAAATCCAGACAGAGCAAATGAGCTCCCCCAGCTCACACAGCAAGTCGGGGCAAAGCCACAGAGCAAGTGTTGAATTCCCTTGGCTCCCCACCAAGTAAGATAGCTCCCTGCATCGCATCACCCTTATCTTTCAGGCCCAAGGAAGCAGGAAGCACAAGACTGAACCCAAGCCCCTCTCTAAACCTTACTTTTTATTAATTTAAAGTCACCTAGTGAGGCTGGCATAAAGGGCCCAAGGGCATTCGGCCCAGGCCTCCTATTGGCCTTCTGATGTCATTGCTAGAAAGATCACACACAATCAGCAAGACGCGTTAAGATAACAACTGTGTGTTTCTGTTCTATCCATAGGCCATGTCCATCTAGCTCATTCTAAGATGGTATGTTTTCTAAATCCGTGGTTCTCCATCCAGCACAATATCCTTGCAGTGATCAGTAGTGTGCATGTGTGTGTGTGTGTATTACAGCTCTTATTTTGTTCAACCCTCCCTAATTTTTGGTAACCCTTGTTGTGGCATCTTTTCATTTATATCCCTTGAGCCACCAGGGGCCTGATGGAGTGGGTGCAGACAGGTCTCTTCCACTTCCTGTGTGGTTCCAGGTCTGGCACCTGTTTGGCGAACACATTCCTGGACATGGGTCCCCAGTGTCTCTGCTGTCTGGGACAAACACATCTCTGGAGTGCTGGATGAAGAAGATGATCTTCTGCCGCACAAGCTCAGACAGGACAAGATCGTTATGCAACTGGTTTACAACATTTTCCTTTTGCCTCTTTAGATAGCTCAGCCCTGTCCCTGTTTGCACTCTGTTCTGTGGATGACTTGGCATGAGGCATCTCTACAAGAAAAACAAGTCAAAGGCTTGAGCCTTGGATGGTGAAATCACCACTCACTCCGTGGGCAGCCACAGTAAATGGGTGTCTGGTCTTACCTGAGCCACTGGACTATGTGCCCGCTGCCACGTGCCTGAGCATGATGTCCAGGCTCCTGAAGGGCAGATACTTGGGAGTGTGTGTTTGTGATACACTCAGAGTATGGGTGAAGAGTCGTGACACGTGGAAGAAAGAACGATTAGCTAACTGGTGACTCAGGGTGAGTTTGTACTTCTGCTACACACAGTGATTATTACAGAACTTTTTATCCATCACAGCTATTTACATGTGAAGCATTGGTTGGTCCCAAATTATGCCATAAATGGCTACTGGATTGCAGTTGGAATCCCTGGAACAGATTGTCTGTGATGAAAGCACGCAAATTCCTTAGAATGCAAGTCCAAATTTGCCTGTGCGTGGATGAGCCTAAGCACTGATTCTTGGATTCAAGTATTTTCTCTCCTGAATAGTCTATGAACCAAAAGAAGTATTTACCTATACATGTAGAGTCCAGATCAAAAGGAAGGGGATGCAACAGCTAAGATCACTTTAGCTCTAAGTCACAGCGACATAACTAGATCTGGCCTAAGAATAAACCCAAGAATGCATTGCTTTATCCAGCTGGAAAACCAAATGGACCACTCACTTCAGCACAGGTAGCCTGCAGGGTAGGCAGGAGCATGTTCTCTTCTGCTCCTGGGCTCCCCTGTTCTCCATGTTGGCATGACTCGGAGGTGAGCTTTCATGCTGTGCTTGCC